TCCTAGTGGGTTGGGGGGGGCTGCCACAGTGGAGAGGCAATCCTTCAAAGGGGCTGGCCCCTAGGGATTATTGGGGGGGGGAATGCAAAGCAGTTACAGCCAAGTGAACCCCTGAAGCGAAAAGCCTCTTTCCCAAGATTGCTCAAGGCTCCCTTTCCCATCAGGAGGGGGGGGGAAAGAAAACCTGGGTCCGGAGAGGAAGCAGACAGCTCCCCGCCCTCCTGCTGGGACAGGCCCTTCCCAGGCCCGTATGGGCAGAGGTGCGGTTACCTGTTTAATTACAGGTTGCCCCAGTTGGCAAGGTGGAATCAGCCCAGGTGCTCCACCAGAACGAACACGCCCAAGATCTGAGCCTTGATTCTTTGCCACCGAACACGTGAGTGCTTTTGAAATCAAACCATCACACGCGTGTACACACAAACACACATGTGTGGCCTTAAGAGTCAGAAGGAGCAGAGGACTGCCCTGGAGAGAATGCGGCAGGTGGACCAGGGCTGTCCTCTTGGTTGTGAGTGGATTTCTCTCTCCCAAGAGGGATGTTGCCCGTGCTGGGTGCTACTTAGGGGCAACCTTCAAGGGGTGTGTGTGTGTGTCAAAATGCCAAGAGGGCAGCTAAGGCACTTCTTGACGTGGATTGCCATCTTGACCTCTTCAACCATCCCCTGTGGAGAACTCTGGGGCTGCTTCTTCTGCCATATCAGCAGCAGATGCTCCAGTGTTCCTCATCCATGAATCTCAGAACAGAAGAACACAGTTGGGAGAGACCTCGGAGATCTTCTAGTCCAACCCCCTGCTCAGGCAGGAGACCCTGTATCAAGGGTCTGCAACCTTGGCATAGCTGGCTGAGGAATTCTGGGAGTTGAAGTCCACAAGTCTTAAAAGTGGTCAAGGTTGCAGACCCCTGCCCTATACCATTCTAGACAAAGAGTTGTCCAGTCTCTTCTTAAAAACTTCCACGGTTGAAGCATTCACAACTTCTGGAGGCAGGTTGTTCCACTGGTTAATTGTTCTCACTGTCAGGAAGTTCCTCCTTAGTTCCAGGTTGCTTCTCTCCTTGATCAGTTTCCATCCATTGCTTCTTGTCCTGCCTTCAGGGGACTTTGGAGAAGAGGTGGACCCCCTCTTCTTTGGGGCAGCCCCCCAAATATTTTAATAATAATAATAATAATAACAACAACAACAGCAGCAGCAGCAACCAGGTGTCCTCTGTAAACGATCATGGCGAACGAATGACTTAGGTTAAAGTGGTTTTTTTTGTGCGATGATCCATAATAATAATGATAAAGTTGGAAGGGACCTTGGAGGTCATCGTCCAACCCCCTGCTCATGCAAGAAACCCTAGACCATTTCAGACAAATGGCCGTCCAGTCTCTTCTGAAAAACTTCCAGTGTTGGAGCATTTACCGCTTCTCGAGGCAAGGAGTTCCACTGGTTAACTGTCCACACTGTCAGGAAATTCCTCCTTAGTTCCAGGTTGCTTCTCTCCTTGATGAGTTTCCATCTGTTGCTTCTTGTCCTGCCTTCAGGCGCTTTGGAGAATAGCTTAATTCCCTCATCTTTGTAGGAACCCCTTCAATATTTTATTTTTTTATTTATTTTATTTAGAAAACTTACATTGCTGCCTACTTGCATGTGGCGACGATATGGGAACCCTGCCATCGTGTGCCCGCTTAATCCTTCTTTCCGCTAAACTAGACCTACGCAATTCCAGCAACCGTTCTTTGCATGATTTGGTCTCCAGTCCCCTGATCGTCTTTGTGGCTCTTCTCCACATCCTTTCCAGAGTCTATATCGGGGTGACCCAAACTAGGTGCAGTGCCTGGTCCAGGGGCCATTCTGCCTGGGGCCTGGGGCTCTTCTCAGCACTCAGTGCTGCCCAGAGGGGCCAACAAGGCTGGGAGCTGCTGCTGGATGCTGGTTGGTCAGCCTAGGAAGGGAAAGGGTCTCTCCTGGGAGATTATGTTGACTTTAGGGAGAAGGTCCCCTGGCAGACAGATGTGGCTGGTGGGCACCTCCTGCTCCTGGAAGTGTCTCTTGCATGATTTAACTCCCTTGCAAAATTTGGGCTTTCCTGGAACCTCATTGATCTGGCCCGGTTCAACAAAGAGGATTAGGGGACTGGAAGCTAAAACATACAAGGAACGGCTGCTGGAATTGGGAATGTCCAGTTTAACGAAGAGAAGGACGAGGGGGGCAGGATAGCAGCCTTCCAGTATCTCAGGGGCTGCCCCAAAGAAGAGGGAGTCAAGCTATTCTCCAAAGCGCCTGTGAATGCTCCAACACTGGAAGTTTTTAAGAAGAGACTGGACAGCCATTTGTCAGAAATGGTATAGGGTTTCCTGCCTGAGCAGGGGGTTGGAGTAGATGACCTCCAAGGTCCCTTTTATTATTATTATTATTATTATTATTATTATTATTATTATTATTATTATTATGGATCATCGCACAGTCAGCCAGATGTTCAGACTGGATTTGGCATTTTGTCTACCTATCGAGTCCTTACCCAGGACCTGGGATAGGCAGATGTGGATGTTTGATGGTATTACAGATATCGTCGCAGGATGGAAGCAGTTCCTAGTAAGGCCGCCTTTTGCAATTGACTAATAGCGAATTTGTCAATGCCAATGGTGTTCAAGTGGTGCTCCAGTTGTTTTGGGATTGCACCCAAGGCACCTATGACTAATGGTACTACCCTTGCTTGCTTTTGTCACAGTCTTTCTATTTCTATTTGTAGGTCTTTGTATTTTGTGATCTTTTTCAGTTCTTTCTCGTCTCTTCTGCTGTCTCCAGGCACTGCCACGTCCATTATCCAGACTTTTTTGCCTTTCTTATCGACAATTGTTAAGTCTGGGGTGTTATGTTGCAGGTGCTTGTCTGTTTGAATTCTGAAATCCCAGAGCAGTTTAATTTTATCATTTTCTATGACTTTCTCTATTTGATGATCCCACCAGTTCTTGCTTACAGGCAAATGATATTTTTTGCAGATCTTCCAATGCACCATTGTTGCTACTTTGTCATGCCGCTGCTTGTAGTCAGTCTGTGTGATCTTTTTGCAGCAGCTTACCAGGTGGTCCACTGTTTCTGCTGGTAAGCTGCTGCAAGATCACAAAGACTGACCTCCAAGGTCCCTTCCAACTTTTATTATTATTATTATTATTATTATTATTATTATTATTATTATTAACCCTGCTTCGCTTTGTGAGATCATCAAAAACGGGGCTGCTGCCTTGCTTTGTCTTCTGGAATGGGCAGATGCCAAGCTGAGTTTCCCAAGATGTTCCAATTTCTAGATGTTCCCATTTCAGGGCTCAGAGTTCTTGCAATGCGCTCAGTCTCTGGGAAGTTCCTGGGGTTGACGCCCTCATCTGGGGTGCCTCCATTGTGCAACTCGACAGCAGGCAAATGCCCTCCTGGTTTCTCAGCTCCAGGCCTGCCCGGAGGGATGGGAGGCGGGGCCGCCAAGGAACTGAATAACAATACTGGGGTTGGGTGTTTGCTCAATCGGTGCTTCCCAGCATTGGCAACTTTAAGGTGGGGGACTTCAACTCCCAGAATCCCCCAGCCAGCAAGCTTTAACATGGGGGACTTCAACTCCCAGAATCCCCCAGTTAGCATGCTTTAAGATGGGTGACTAGGGAATTCTGGGAGTTGAAGTCCATGAAGTTTAAAGTTGCTGAGATTAAGGAACGCTGGCCTAGGAAGGTCTAGATCAGGGCTAGGCAACCTTGGCTCTTTTATGACTGGTGGACTTCAATTCCCAGAATTCCTGAGCCAGCATGGGAGAACTATGACCCCCTTCTTGACTGGTGGACTTCAACTCCCAGAATTCCTGAGCCAGCATAGCTCAGCTTGGAAACCTCTCTCTTTCCCCTCAGCGTGGCTGGCTCAGGAATTCTGGGAGTTGAAGTCCACCCGTCATAAAAGAGCCCAGGTTCCCCACCCCTGTCTTAAGTAAATGAGGGGTCCAATTCACAGATCTGACTAAAAGGCGGCAGCCTTGAGCAGCGGCCCATCCCGTCCGGGGCTCTGCAGTGGCTGGACTGACAGAGCCCTTAAATCGCCATTTTCTTAAGCTTTATTGCTCCTTTGGATCAGCACCTCCCGGTGTCTTTGCAGAAACCTGGTGGTGCCTTTTCCCTCTTCCAGGTTTTTATTACAAGAGAAGCCTTTGTAAGCTGCCACAAATCAAAGCTTCCGCTTTTTAATAAGGTGGCAATCGCAACTCTTAGTTGCAAAAAAGGGCTGCCAGGCTGGGTCTGATTCTGTGCCATCCTAGACCAACCCAGCAATCTCCCCCCCCCACGCCTCGATTGATCAGCTGCGCCATCTTGTCTCAGGGGCCCCCGGGGGCCGATTGACGGGCACTTAAGGCACGTTTAAGCAGTCAGACCCGAATGCCCGGTCTTCGCTTGGGCCCTCCTGCTTCCAGGTTGGACCCTAGACCGAGAGGTCCTGGTTCTTTGGGTCCTCCCTCCCTCCCTTTTTCTTCCCTTCCTTCCTTCCTCCCTCCCTTTTTCTTCCCTTTCTTTTTTCCTTCCTCCCTTCCTTTTTCCTTCCTTCCTTTTCCTTTCTTTTTTCTTCCTTCCTCCCTCCCTCCCTTTTGTTTTTTTCCTCCCTCCCTCTCCTTTTTCCTTCCTTCCTCCCTCCCTCTCTCCCTTCTTCCCTCCCTTCCTTTTTCCTTCCTTCCTCTCTCCCTCCCTCTTTTCCTCCCTCCCTCTCTCTCTTTCTTTCTTTTCTTTTTTTTTCTTTCTTCCTCCCTCCCTTCTTCCTTCGTCATAGAAAGCCTGGTGAGGATGAACTGCTTCTTGAACTGGGAAGTGGACCAGGTGTGACCCTACAATGTGGTGGGGTTCCAGCTCCCATCAGGCTCACCCAGCAGTGAGCAGGAGGGCTTGCAGCGTGACTGTGGAGTCACCAGCGCTGCTGGACAGCAGGTGCCCCCCTCCCCCCCCAGCCAGCTCTGGATGGCAGCCCTGCCTGCTTTGTGCCCACAGCGACCGACTCCCCTTCTTGACCAGTTCCCTTCTTCCCCCAGGAAGCCCAGTGCGGCTACACCATCATCGTGATGGCCATCTTCTGGTGCACGGAGGCCGTGCCCCTGGCGGTGACCGCTCTCTTCCCCGTCCTCTTCTTCCCCCTCATGGGCATCATGGACTCCTCCACGGTAAGACAGACTCCTCCATCCCTGGAGGAGGTGTTGAGACAGGTCGGCCATCTGTCCGGAAGAGTATGGGCGGGTCTCCTGCTTGGTCAAGGGGCTGGACTAGAAGACCTCCAAGGTCCCTTCCTAATCTGTCATTCTGTTATTCTGCTGCTTCCCTGCAGGTGTGCATGGAGTACCTAAAGGACACCAACATGCTCTTCATCGGGGGGCTGCTGGTGGCCATCGCCGTTGAGCACTGGAACCTCCACAGGCGCATCGCCCTGCAGGTCCTCCTCATCGTCGGGGTCCGGCCTGCCTTGTGAGTCCCTCAGGCCTGGGACCTCCCCCTCCCTTTGGGCCCCCTGGTGCCCCTGGATTGAGCCACTCAGAAGAGGACACTTAATAATAATAATAATGATGATAAAGTTGGAAGGGACCTTGGAGGTCATCTAGTCCAACCCCCTGCTCAGGCAGGAAACCCTAGACCGTCTCAGACACGTGATTGTCCAGTCTCTTCTTGAAAACCTCCAGTGATGAGAGACCCGCAACTTCTGGTGGCAAGCAGTTCCACTGGTTGATTGTCCTCCCCGTCAGGAAATTTCACCTTAATTCCAGGTTGTTTCTCTCCTGGATGAGTTTCCATCCATTCTTCTTTGTCCTGCCCTCTGGTGCAGGACCCCCCCCTTCTCTGTGGCAGCCCCAGAAAGATATAAAGGAGACTGCTATCACCTCCCCCCGTCCGTTAAACTAGACACCCCCAATTCCTGCCCCCCCTCTTCGTCTGTTTTAGCCTCCAGTCCCCTAATTCTCCATGCCAAATGTCGGGACTTGTTCCCAGCCCCGACTCTTGGTGTGGGGCTACGAGAACCCCTGGTCCCCTGGGCCCTGGATGGGAAGCAGCGCAGCTCCAGGAGGCTCTGGGGCTCCAGACTCAGCCTTCCTCCCCTCCCCTTCCCTCCCTCCCTCCTCCTCCCCCCTCCCTCCTCCTCCCTGTCTCCTTCCCTCCTCCTCCCTCTCTCCTGCTCCTCCCCCTCCCTCCTCCCTCCTCCTCCCCCCTCCCTCCTTCCCTCCTCCTCCCTCCCTCCTCCCTCCCTTCTCCTCCCTCTCTCCTCCTTCTCTTCCCTCCTCCCTCCCTTCTCCTCCCCCTCCCTCCTCCTCCCCCCTCCCTCCTTCCCTCCTCCTCCCTCCCTCCTCCCTCCCTTCTCCTCCCTCTCTCCTCCTCCTCTTCCTCCCCTCCCTTCTCTCCTCCCTCCCTCCCTCTCCCTCCCTCCCCCTCTCCTTCCTCATCCCCTCCTCCCACCTCCCTCCTCCTCCCCTTCCTCCTCCCTCTCTCCCTCCTCCTCTCCATCCCTTCCTCCTCCTCCTCCTCCTCCTCCTCCTCCTCCCTCCCTCCTCCCTCCCTCCTCCTCCTCCTCCCTGTCTCCCTCCCTCCTCCAGGCTCCTGATGGGCTTCATGGGCGTGACGGCCTTCCTCTCCATGTGGATCAGCAACACGGCCACCACCGCCATGATGGTGCCCATCGCCCAGGCGGTCCTCCAGCAGCTGCACAAGTCGGAGCTGGAGCAGAGCAGCGCGAAGCGGGGGGCCGTCCAGAACGGGACCCTCAACCGGGCCTTCGAGATGCAGGAGGCGCGTCCTCCACCAGGTGGGTCTCCCGCCTGCTCTTCCTCCCGGCTGGCAGGGATTCGCGCCAGGCCAGTTCACGGGGGATCCCCGTCTGGCGGAGGCCTCCTCTCCCGACCTCGGGATTCGGTCCTCGACCGTCACGAAGGTGGGGCAGGCCCACTGGGGGATGTGCCCAGTGCCAACCCCTGGCCCACCTCCCTGGCCGCTGCTTTCCGTAAGACTGGCTGCCTCTGCCTTTGCTGGCCCTGAGAATGGCAGGGGGTGTCCGCCACCCTGGGGGGGGGGTCCTTGGGGCTCTCTGAGCTGGGCGGTTCCCTTGCAGACATTTAACAGCCCAACTAGGGAACATCATCAGTGCTAGAAGGGGGGAGGGGGAGGAGGACTGGAGGGTCCTGGGTGCTCTGAGCTGGGTGGCTTTCTTGCAGACTTTTCATGACCCAACTAGGGAACGTCATCCATGTTAGAAGGGAGGGGTGTGTGGGGAGGACGAGGAGGAGGACAACGACAATGACGACGACAACTGTGAGATCCTTGGGGCTCTCTGAGCTGGGTTGTTTCCTTGCAGACGTTTCATGACCCAACTAGGTAATAGCATCCGTGTACAAGGGAGGGAGTTTGTGGAATGGAGGAGGAGGAGGAGAAGGGGATTGTGAGGTCCTTGGTGCCCTCTGAGCTTGGTGGTTTGTTTCCAGACGTTCAATTACCAAACTGGCGCAGACAATGTTCCCCAGTTGGGTCATGAAGCATCTGCAGGAAAGCAGCTGAGCCCAGAGCCCCCAGGACCCCGGAGTTCAACCCCAGGCTACCCAGATTCCATGGGCATCAGCCCCCTCCTCACCTGAAGCAGCCAGGCTGCCACCAGGCCCCGAGAGGCCTTCACTGGGCATCAAGAGGCCTTGTCCAGACCTGGGCCAGATGCCCACCGAGCCTCTTCACTGAAGGACCTGCTAAGTGCCCAGTGTGGCCCTGGGCCAGCCTCAGCTGGGGACGGGGCAGCCCCTGGGTCTGTGAAAGGGGAACGCTGGGCAAAGCGGCAGAGTCCGGGGGCCACGCGGGGCTGGTCTGTCTCCCCCCTTGACCTCTGCCCTAGCGATCGGGGCCCCCAGAGCCCGCCTGCCCAGCTGGCTGATGGGCCCCTCTCCCCTCTTGTGGAACAGCAAATGCCCACGTGCAGGTGGTGATGAAGGAAAAGGTCCCCGAGGAGCCCGGCCAGAAGCTGGACGAAGACCGGGAGCAGCTGCAGGAGAAGCACCAGGTCTTCTGCAAAGGGATGAGCCTGGCCGTCTGCTACTCCGCCAGCATCGGCGGCATCGCCACCCTGACGGGCACCACCCCCAACCTGGTCCTGAAGGGGCAGATGGACGAGTAAGGCTCCGGGGGCGTTCCTGGCACGGGGCTCCCGTGCCGTTTTTTTCCGGGCAGGGCCCCTTCCCAGTTCCTTCCCCAGAGTATTTAGGGGTGGTGGTCCAGAAGGGTCCCCCTCCCACTTTCCCCATCCCTCCTTCCCCCCATTCCAGACCTGCTGCTGGTGGCCTCTTTCACCCTGCCTGGTCTCTGCCCGCTAGCAGAAGCCCCTCATTTATGGGGTGGAGGATCCTCCGCTTCTGCAGAAGAGACCCCCGCCCCTCCTGCCCCAAAGGCATGACTGTGTAGGGCACGTGTGCGTTTTTTCTTGAAAGTTTGAGCAGAGGGTTGGACTAGAAGACCTCCACGGTCCCTTCCAATTCCATTATTCTGTAGGGCAGGGGTTCTCAACCTGTGGGTCGGGACCCCATTTGGGGTCGAACGACCATTTCACGGGGGTCGCCAAACAACGCAGTTCGTCATTTTTTCCCCCTTTTCCTTAGCTGTGCTATTCCCTTTTATTCTATTGGCTTTTGAAAGCCAATAGAATAGACTCTCTTGAATAGAGTCTAATTCTATTGGCTTCAAAAGCCAATAGGAATTGTCCAGGCTGTCTCTGCCCTGCTGAGCCCGCCAAAAGTCCCACTCTGCAAACGGTGCTGCACCAGTTGAGTAGTCCTCGACTTACGACCGGTTGAGTAGTCCTCGACTTACGACCGGTTGGGGGTTGCGGCATTAAAAAGGTTGAGAACCACTGCTGTAGGGCAACAGTCTCCTAACTTGGCTGCTTTAAGACTTCTGGACTTCAACTCCCAGCGTTCCCCAGGCGGCTAGGGGATTCTGGGAGTTGAAGTCCACAAGTCTTAAAGTTGCCAGGTCTGGAGACACCGGCTGTAGTGTAAAGCTTCCATTGCACTGCATTAGCTGTTGAAATAGAAATAGAAACCATAGGGCTGGAAGGGACCTTGGAGGTCATCCAGTCCAACCCCCTGCCCAGGCAGGAAACCCTATACCAGGGGTAGGCAACCTTGGCTCTTTTATGACTTGGCTGTCTCAGGAATTCTGGGAGTTGAAGTCCACGAGTCATAAAAGAGCCAAGGTTGCCGACCCCTGCCCTAGACAAATGGCTGTCCAGTCTCTTCTTAAAAGCCTCCAGGGATGGAGTCCCCACCACTTCTAGAGGCAAGCAGTTCCACTGGTTAATTGTCCTCACAGTCAGGAAATTTCTCCTCATTTTGGACCCCTCTTTCTTAGTTTTTCCCCCCAAAAGGAGAGGGTCGGCTAAGGGCGGCGCATGTCCTGGCACTGCCATTGTGCCACCAGCAGACCAGCCTTTCTCCACTTTAAGAGGGGTGGGCTTCCACTCCCAGCATCCCCCCCAGCAGGCCAGCTGAGGCTGAGGCGGTTTCTGGGGGGGAAGGGGCTGTGAGGGGGGCCCTTCCAGGGGACACAGTGACGGGGGTCTCTCCTCACCAGGCTCTTCTGCCGCAACGGCAACGTGGTGAATTTTGGCTCCTGGTTCACCTTCGCCTTCCCTGCCATGCTGGTGCTGCTGATCCTCTCCTGGCTGTGGCTGCTGCTGCTGTACCTGGGCTGGGAGTGAGTCTCTGGGCCCCCGCCTGGGCTGGGGGGGAGGAGGTGGGGGTGGGGGGTCTTGCAGAAGAAGCAACTGATCTCCCTCCCCGCCCTCTTAATTGGGTTGGGGGCCGAGCGCGGCTGCCCAATCGCAAAGGGGTGCTGGGCTGAGAGACCCTGAGCAGACGGAGTGGGGAGGCAACTCAGCCTATCCAGGGATGCCCCCTGCCAAGGGACCCTTCCAGGACAAGGCACGGGGGGGGGAGAGAGAGAAGCCCCCACCCCTGCCCCACATCCTTTCCCCTCTGCCCCCCTCCCAGTTTCAAGAAGAATTTCGGCTGTGGCACCAGCGAGGCGGAGAAGCGGAAGTCCGAGCAGGCGTACAGCATCATTAAGAGCGAGTACCGGGCGCTGGGCCCGATGAAGTTCTCCGAAGGGGCCGTCCTCCTCCTCTTCATCGCCCTGGTGGTCCTTTGGTTCACCCGGGAACCCGGCTTCATGCCCGGCTGGGCCAACGCCCTCTTCAGCCAGAGGGAGAAGAGGTGAGGAGGGGGGCTAGACCGGGTGGAGGACTCTGGGAAAGCCGCCTTCGGTCCCTCCCCCCCCCCCCCCGTGGCTGCCTTTGAGGCAGCTGCAGACCCTCCCCCATCCTTCAGGCCCCTCCCTCCAACCTCGTCTCAACTGGGAGGGGGGTCTGAGGGACGCTGGACTCTGTCTTACAGCTACATCACGGATGCCACGGTGGTCATCTTCATTTCGCTGCTGATGTTCCTGATTCCCTCCGAAATATCCAGATGCTGTTCCGGGGCCCAGGATGAAGGTAAGCGGAGAGTGCCAGACTGGCAGAGGAAGCAGTGAAAGGGAATGGCCTTCAGGAACAGAACAGAGCTGGAAGGGACCTTGGAGGTCTTCTAGTCCAGCCCCCTGCTCAAGCAGGAGAACCCATACTATTTCAGACAAATCGCTGTCCAGTCTCTTCTTAAAAACCTCCAGTGATGGCCTGGGGGAGCCCTCCTGGCGGAACCCCTGGGAAGGCTCAAGCAAGGGGGCCCTGGAGCTCCTACACCAGTGGTTCTCAACTTTTTTAATGCCGCGACCCCCAACCGGTCTTAAGTCGAGGACTACTCAACTGGTGCAGCACCGTTTGCAGAATGGGACGTTTGGCGGGCTCAGCAAGGCAGAGACAGCCTGGACGATTCCTATTGGCTTTTGAAAGCCAATAGAATTAGACTCTATTCAAGAGAGTCTATTCTATTGGCTTTCAAAAGCCAATAGAATAAAAGGGAGTAGCACAGCTAAGGAAAGGGGGAAAAAAATGGCGGACTGCGTTGTTTGGCGACCCCCGTGAAATGGTCGTTCGACCCCAAATGGGGTCCCGACCCACAGGTGGAGAACCACTGTTCTACAGTGTGCTGGCACCTGACAGGACCCCGAAATCAGAGGGGACCTAGTGGGACACGTCTTCCTCCTGCACCATCTGTGATTCTTTTCTAGCAGTCGAATAACGATTCAGCGGTCCAGGTTCACTGGTCTTTCAGCCAAGGAGGGAGAATTGTGGGTCTCTTCTCCCCCCTACACACTAACCAAAAACAAATTGGGGGGGGGGGCAGAGAGAGAGAAGAACATTTCATAATTTGGATTTTCAGAATTTGGAGTTTAGATTTAGGACGATCCCAGGAAAAATCCGTAAACCCCATTGACTTATTCCACGGGTCTCCAAATTTGAACACTGTAAGATTTGTGGACTTCAACTCCCAGAATTCCCCAGCCAGCATAGTCCCGAGTCTTACAGTGGCCAAGTTTGGAGACCCCTGACTTTTCCCCCCACCCCTAAAAAAGTAAGAAAAACACAAGATCACTTCTGACCAAATCAACCCAGTTTTGCCCATTAGGAATGAAAACTGAGAGGGGAGGTGAAGTGGGGTGACTTTCCCCATCTTGACTGGAGGGGCGTCTGCCTCTTGTGAGGACCCTCCCTTCAAGACAACACAGCACCACCAGTGGGGGGGTGTCAAAAGGAATTGGGTTTCCTGGGAGGGGGTGAAATGCCCCCCTGGAGAGTCTCAACCATCCAGGCCAGAGTTGTCCCAAAAGAGCTTTTCCTAAAGGCCCCTGGACTTTGTTTTTTCCTTGAAGACGTTTCCCTTCTCATCGTAGAAGCTTCTTCAGTTCTGACTGAATAGCGGAGAACGGAACTGAAGAAGAACGGAAGAAGCTTCTTGGCTGAGAAGGGAAACATCTTCAAGGGAAAAGCAATAAAGTCCCGCTGCCTTGTGAAAAAGCTCTTTTGGGGGTCCCCTAAGGGAGGCTTGGCGCTTCCCCCAGACTTCCTGGAGCAGAGTTAGAGGGGAGTCGCGGGGCTCCGCTCCTCGCGTAGAGCCTGTGCAAACACCAACGTTGGACACCCACCCCAGCCCCCGGCGCTGCACCCCACTGCCCGCTCCCCACTTCCCTTGCAGGCAGCCCGGGACAGATCCGCGCGCCCCCCGCCCTCCTGGACTGGACCACGGTCAACCGGAACATGCCCTGGAACATCGTCATCCTGCTGGGAGGGGGCTTCGCCTTGGCCAAAGGCAGCGAGGTGAGGGGCCGCCCCCCCCCGCCGGTTGGGACCGGAGAGGCGGAGCGGGCGGGGGGCGATTCCTTCCTTCCCATCGTCGCCCGCGGGCCGCCTGCTGGGCAGCCGGAGGACCCCCGCCGCCGCCTCCGCGCGGGGAGCCCCGCAGCGGAGCCCCGGTTCGGCCGGAGCAATGCCCTTTCCCGCCACCCGGGGGCGCCCGAGCCTCGCCGAAGCCGGGCAGTCGGCCACGGAGCTGGGCGCGGGCGGGGCTCTCCGCGCGTGGGAAGTGCGGGCGACCCTGCGGCGGCGGAGGGGCAGCCTCTGGCGGGGGGGGAGTCGTGGGAGGGGCGGAGGATTAACTCCATTAACTTCCCCGCCCCTCTGGGGGCTTTTCCAGGCCTCCGGCCTGTCCAGCTGGTTGGGAAACAAGCTGACCCCGCTGCAGAACATCCCCCACCCGGCCATCGCCTTCCTGCTCTCCTTGCTGGTGGCCGTCTTCACGGAGTGCACCAGCAACGTGGCCACCACCACCCTCTTCCTGCCCATCCTGGCCTCCATGGTGAGGAGGGGGCGGCGGCTGGGCGGGACCCGGGACCCCCCCTCTGCCCCTTGGCCGGGGCCTTCCCAGCCCCCCCCCGAAGGGCGTCCGAGGGAGGGAGGGAGGGAGAGGGGGGAAAGAAAGGGAAAAGGGGAGAACAAAAGGAAGGAGAAGGAAGGAAGGAAGGAAGGAGAAAGATTAAGAGAATGTAGGAGGGATGGAACATTAGGAGAAAGGAAGGGAGAGGAAGGAAGGAAGAAAAGGAAAAAGAAGTAAGAAAAGAAAGGGAAGGAGGGATGAAGAAAAGAAAAAGGAAGAAAAAGGAAAGCAAAGGAAAGGAAGGAGAAAAGGAGGGAAGGGAGAAGAAAGGGAGGGAGGGAAGGAAGGAAAGAAGCAAGAAAGATAAAGAAGGAAGAAAGAAAGGACAAAGGAAAAGGAAGGAAGGAGAGAAGGAAAGAAAAAGAAAAAGGAGAAGAAGAAGAAGAAAAAGAAAGGAGGGAGGGAGGGAAGAAGGAAGGAAAAAAGAAGGAAGAAATAGGAAAAGAAAGGAAAACAAAGGAAAAGGAAGGAGAAAAAGAGGGAAGGAAGAAAAGGCAAGAAAGATGAGAAACGGAAGGAAGAAAGGAAAAAGAAGGAGGGAGGGAGAGGGGAGGGGAGGCTTCCAGGCCCTTCTCTCCTCCATGCTGAGACCCTCTCCACCACCACCACCCCCCCTCGCAGGCCCAGGCCATCCAGCTCAACCCGCTCTACGTGATGCTGCCCTGCACCCTGGCGGCCTCCCTGGCCTTTATGCTGCCGGTGGCCACCCCCCCCAACGCCATCGTCTTCTCCTACGGCAACCTCCGGGTCATCGACATGGTGAGCCCCGTCCCTTGCTGGTGAAACTGGGGTCCCTTCCTGGCCCGGCGGAAACAGAGCCCATCTTCCACCATCAGCAGAGCCCAACTGGCCCGCCCTGTCGCTTCCTTCTCCATGGCTGCAACGCAGCGGAGCCTCCAGTGATAGGCAGCTCCTCTCTGAATAATATCAGATGCCAAAGCCACATTCCTGCCCTGCCTGTGGGCTGGGGGAGCCGCCTCCTTTCCTTCCCAAAGCAGCCGGAGGTAGACTGCCCTCCGACATGGAGGCTCTGCGAGGCTTCCCTGCTGGATTCCCAGCTGCTCTTTCTCGCCCTCCAGGTCAAAGCCGGGTTTATGCTGAATATCCTGGGCGTCCTGACCATCATGCTGGCTATCAACACCTGGGGCCTCCCCATTTTCAACCTCCACCAGTTTCCAGCCTGGGCACACGCCAACGCCACTCAGTGCTGACAGGAGGAAGAGGGACACCCGAACTCAGAGCTGCTTGCCCCGCTCTGGCTTCTCGGGCATCCCGTTGCCTCGCCGCTGGGGGCACAAAGCGGCTCAGACTGGCCTGGCCCTGGACGATGGGCATTGGCGCACCACAAGCTTTTGCGAGTGGGCACCTTCGGGCCCCAGCCTCGCTTGCCCTGAAGGATCCCGGCCTGCCGTGGCGAGCGGGCGAGAATTTATTTCCTTTCTAAACGGCTCACGGTCAGCAGGCGCTGGAGACGGGCTGGCGCAAGACTTGGGGGGCTGCCGGTGTGCCCGCTGATGGACCAGCGGCTCGCGGGGGTTCTGTGCCAGCCATAGCCATTCTGAAAGTCTCCCCGCCGGCCAGCCCCCCCCCAACATCTGGACGCAGCTGCCTGCCCTGAACCCGGCCTGGCGTTTCCCTCAGGCCAGGGCCGGCCCTGGGGGTCTTCCTGGACACACGGAAACGGGGACGCTGGCCAATAAAGCGGTTTTCAGCCAGTCCTTCCTGGGCAGCTGCCACTCTGTGTGACTCGGAGGGTGTTGAACACACAGGCCGTCCTCAGATCACGACCACAATCTCCACCGCTAAGCAGGACGAGTTGTTAAGTGAGTTTTGCCCCATTTTACGACCTTTCTTGCCACGGTGAAGCACTGCAGGGGTTAAATTAGTCACACGGTCGTTAAGCGAATCCAGTTTCCCCCGTTGATTTTGACGGTCAGACGGCTGCCAAAGGGGTTCACATGACCCCCCCCGAGGGACACTGCAACCGTCATAAGTACGAGTCAGTTGCCAAGCGGCTAAATGTTGATCACGTGACCGCGAGGATGCTGCAAGGGTCGCAAGTGTGAAAAATGGTCTTTCAGTGCCGTTGTGACTTCGAACAGTCACTAAGTGAGCCGTTATAAGTAGAGGACTACTGCAATCAAGGGGGACAGAAAGGACCTTTTCTCCCCCCCCCCGCCGCAGTGGAGAGCGGAGGAAGTCTTGCTGGCTTTGCTTTGACATGGGGGTGGACGGGGGGGGGCAGTTCTGCACCCTGGGCTCTGACTGTCACTAGAGGGACCCCCCCCCCGGTCCTGATCCAGCACCCCAACTCTGCGGGGCTTGTGGTCTTCCCCACTTTTCTGGCCAGGCTCAACCAGCAAAAACTCCCACCTCCCAATGATGTATGGGTAACACAACTCCATTTAGCCTAGAGGTGTGTAACTGTGGGCACTTTAAGACCTGTGGACTTCAACTCCCAGAATTCCTAAGCTGGCTGGGGAATTCTGGGAGTTGAAGTCCACAGGTCTTAAAAGTGCCCACGGCTGCACACTGCTGCTTTCACTGACTCAGTTGTAGCCCATCAATACAATAAACACAACGGCTGCACAGCCATAGAATGCAAATTCCTTCGGCTGCATTGCGCCCGCTGGCTCTGCTATGGGGGGTTTGGCATAAACCTGCCCCGAACCACACCTGCCCTCCCCACCCCCGGATCCTAATCACCCTCCTGGGTAGGTTGAAGGAGCCCCCCTTTGCCCAGGGGGGGAGCGTTCCCCCCCCCAGGGGAGCAGCAGCTGCCTGCTAACCCAGGCACCTTAGAAGGTCAGCTGCCTTGCCCAGACCACCCTGAAAGGTTTGGGGTGCAGTCAGTGTGCCCCCTCCAAGGCCTCAAATCTTTCCAAAGAACATAGGAATCCAGGGCAGGAAGGGACCTCAGAGGACATCTAGTCCAACCCCCTGCCCAAGGCAGGAGATTTTATAGCATCCCAGACAAATGACTGCCCAATCTCTTCTTAAAAACCTCCAGGGATGGAGAACCCGTGAGTGCAGAGAGAAGCTATTGCACTGATTATTTTTTAATTGATCAATTAATTAATTGTTCTCATCATCTGGGAATCCCTCCTTAGTTCCAGGTTGGATCTCTTTCTAAGGAGCTTCTACCCATTGCCTTCCCTTCCTTCCTTCCTTCCTTCCTTCCTTCCTCCCTCCCTCCCTCCCTCCTTCCCTCCATTCTTTATAGTGTTGTAGAATCCTAGGGCTGGAAGGGACCTTGAAAGGTCATCTAGTCCAACCCCCCTGCTCAAGGCAGGAGTCCTCATACCATCCCAGTCAAATGGTTGTCGAGGCTATTTTTGAAAACGTCCAGTGATTTGATGATGGTTGGGTGGAGAACATGCGTACTGGGCATCTCCATCTGAGGGGAAAATCCTTATTTGATCCTTAAAAACCTCCAGCGATGGAGCACCCACAACTTCTGGAGGCAGGTTGTTCCACTGGTTAATTGTTCTCACTGTCAGGAAGTTTCTCCTGAGTTCTAGGTTGCTTCTCTCCTTGATGAGTTTCCAACTGCTAGCCTGTCACCCCTAGTCTTACTTTTCATTAGACATTCCCAATTCCAGCAGCCTTTCCTTATATGCTTTAACCTCCAGCCCCCTAATCATCTTTGTTGCTCTTCTCTGCACTCTTTCTAGAGTCTAAGCATCTTTTTTACATCGTGGTGACCAAAACTGGATGCCGTATTCCAAGTATGGCCTTACCAAGGCCTTGTAAAGTAGTATTAACCCTTCACGTTATCTTGAGTCTATCCCTCTGTTAATGCAGCCCAGCACTGTGTTGGCTTTTTTGGCAGCTGCAGCACACGGCCGGCTCATATTTAAGTGATTGTCCACCAGGACTCCGAGGTCCCTCTGACAATTAACACACCCAACCATGAGACCAAAATTAAGGTTTGGGGCACCAATTGGCGCTCCAGGAAACAGCTCTTTGAGGAAGAGGAGGCAGGCCAAGCTGAGAACGGTGCTCCTGGGGGACTCCTCAACGCTCCTTCACCCCGGAAATGCTGTGCAAGTTTTCCCTTCCCTTCACAACAGCTCAAGCCAAGCCTGTGTCATGCTGGGCTCCGGTGTGGCTTCACTCCCCTGCAGGCAATAAAGGCAGTCCTTGACTTCAACCGTTCATTTAGCGACTGAAGTGACAACAGCACAGAAAAAGGTGACATGACCGTTTTTCAGACTTACGACCGTTGCAGCATCCCTGTAATCATGTGATCAAGATTCAGGCACTTGGAAACTGGCTCATATTTACGATGGTTGCAAGACCCAGGGTCTCATGATCCGCTTTTGCGACCCTTTGGCAAGCGGGGGAAGCTGGATCCACTTAACAACCACGGGTTTGGCTAACGACCGCAGTGATTTGTTTCACAACCACAGCAAGGAAGGCCGTAAAAAGGGAGGGGAGTCAGAAGCACCGTTGTCAGTTGGGGCCCCACTGACTTAGCAACCGAGGTGTTGGGGTCCCTCGTGGTGAGTCAGGGGAAGGGAACCGGTCAGTAAGCAGGAAGGCTCCTTCGGCCAGGAGGGGCTGGAGGGGCCAGGAGCCCCTCTGCGACCGGAGAGGCAGGGGCTTGCTAGGCCCTCCCCCCCAGCCCCAAAACAGCCCATGGCTGCCGGGCCCGTCCTGATGGGACTTGCAGAGAATTCCAGAAGGCTCCCTGGCTGCAACACGAGTTGTCGTGTGTCCCCCAGAGCACACTTGACTTATGTCTCATCTTCTGCGGCTGACAACTCCCCCGGCCCCATCAATCACTCCTCTCCCTGGGAGCAGACCCCGCCCACCCTGCCGGCCGGCTTCCCACACCTGGCGCTTCCCCTTCCTTTACCTGGGAGACTCCTGTCTCTGGCGAAGGTACACAACTGGTCTATACTGCAAAGGTGGCACCAGGTGGCTGACCACACGCGAAAGCCATCACGGTCTTAGCCAAGAGAGGACTTGCTTTGGATAACAGGTTGGGTGGGTGTTATAAATTACATAGATAGATGAGAGAGGGGGGGGGAATGGGTGGATGGATGGATGGATGGATGGAGAGAGAAAGAATAGATGGATGGATGGATGGATAAATAGATAGAGGTAGGCAGGCAGACAGATGATAAATAGAGAATAGAGATAAATGGATGGATAGTTGATAGAGATAGATAAAAATATATAGAAAGATTGAGATGATAGATATAGATAGAAATATATAGAAACAGATTGAGATAAATGATAGAAATAAAAATAGAAATAAATTGATAAGATATGTATATAGATTGAGATCGATGGTAGATTGAGATAGGGTAGAGCAGTGGTTCTCAACTTGTGGGTCGGGACCCCATTTGGGGTCGAATGACCATTTCACGGGGGTCGCCAAGCAACGCAGTCCGCCATTTTTTCCCCCTTTTCCTTAGCTGTGCTACTCCCTTTTATTCTATTGGCTTTTGAAAGCCAATAGAATAGACTCGCTTGAATAGAGTCTAATTCTATTGGCTTTCAAAAGCCAATAGGAATTGTCCAGGCTGTCTCTGCCCTGCTGAGCCCACCAAAAGTCCCATTCTGCAAACGATGCTGCACCAGTTGAGTAGTCCTCGCCTTACGACCGGTTGAGTAGTCCTCGCCTTACGACCGGTTGGGGGGTCGCGGCATTAAAAAGGTTGAGAACCACTGGGGTAGAGTGATAGATGGAGGGAGGGAGAAAGAAATGAAAGAGAAAGAAAGAAAGCAAAAGGAGGAAAGAAATAAACTCAACAATAATGACCAAGGATCTGCTCTAAGGACTTCAACTCCCGGCCTGCTGGACAGGGAATTCTGGGAGTTGAAGTCCACAAGTCTTAAAGTTACCAGCCTTGGACACCCCTGCTTTATTTCATCAAATCAGGTGAGCTGCCCCTTACGTTGATGCCTGTCAATAAATGTGTGAGTTTAAAAAGGCCTCAAGTTCCTGTCGGCTTTTTGCTACCATAAACTAACCCAGTTTTCCTACTCCACGGTCTTCTTCAGCGTCCCACAAAGATTTTCCCTACATTTCTTTTGAAATTACAAGCACATAGCCAGCAAGTGTTTGGTTGGTTGGTTGGTTTGTTAGCAGTTTGACACCCGCCATGCAAGGACCCCCTTGGCATCCACAGCTGGGCACAACTTCCAAAGGAGAGGAAGCAAAAACTTTGCAATTGTAAACATTTATTCCAGGTCTTTCCCTTCCCCCCCCCCAACAGACTGTCTGAGGACACGGAGGTTCCCAACGGACTTTGCCCTTATTTGTTTATTTTGCCCGCCTTCGTTAGTTTTATCAATAACTCAGCATGGTGAACTTACCTAATACTTCTTCCCCCTCCTACTTTCCCCACAAAAACAGCCCTGTGAGGTGAGTTGGGCTGAGAGAAATGGACTGGTCTAAAGTCACCCAGTTGGCTTTTGTGCCTAAGGTGAACTAGAACTCACCGTCTCCTGGTGATTGGCCCAAAGTCACCTAGCTGGCTTTTATGCTTAAGGCAGGACTAGAACTCACAATCTCCTGGTGACTGGCCCAAAGTCACCCAGTTGGCTTTTGTGCCTAAGGTGAACTAGAACTCACTGTCTCCTGGTGATTGGTGCAAAATCATTGAGAAGTCTTTCATACCTAAGGTCTAGAACTCACCGTCTCCTGGTGATTGGCCCAAAGTCACTGAGCTGGCTTTTATGCTTAAGGCAGGACTGGAACTCA